AGAGGCAGAAGAGAAGGGTGCTGAGTCAGTATGAGTGCAAGGGACGCGGTGTGAAAACAGGGTTAGAAGCAGATAGGCAGGGAGGCGAGAACACATGCCAAGAAGGAAGGGCAAGGGAGAGAGACAAAGAAGCATGATTGTGACAAGTGTCGATGAAGACCAAGAGGCAAGATAAAACCAGGATCAAGGGAAGGAAGCTATCCAAAGGAGGAAGGAAGATGGAAAGATGGGACAGCATGTAGGAGACACAGAATGATGTGGATAAAGAAACAGAGTTGTAGAAAAAAAGAGGTTTCTGGGTTTCCTATGGAACCTCCTTGTGTCAGTGCGAACTTCCCTGGACCTGGAGATAGACAGAGTTAGCAGAGCCCTTGGGCCTCCAACTGACCTGCACCCCACTCCTGCTGAAGGAGGTCCCTCACAGTGGGGGTTCTGTGGATGGGCTGCAGGGCATCCCACCCCAAACCTCTTACCTGGGCTGGAGGAGTCTCTGTCTGTCCTCAAAGCTCCAGCTCCTTTATATCCCATTTCCCCCACCCCCTGCCTAAATTTGGAGTCCTTCCGGAGGGACCCTCCCTCCCACCTCTCTCCCCTCTTGGCTCCTCCTCCCTTGATCCCTTGGCTCTGGAGGTGACAGGAGGACAGCAGGGCCCCCAGATTTGCCCATGAAAGGTCTGCTGCCCCAGCCTCTCTGGCTCCACGGCCTTTTTTTAGTCCTCGGGCGCATTCCTCCCCTCCAAAGGGCTGATGAGCAGATAGTGGGAAGACAGGACCTTCTCGCACCCCCTCTCCCAGCCGGCCATGGCCCTTACCTCGGTTATTTTTAAACTGAAGGGTGAATTGAACTCATGGGTGAGGGTCACCTTCCGCAAGCCAAATGCCTGTCCTCTGCCTCCCAACCATGGGCTTTCCTCCCCTGTTCCCCACCCTCTCCTTCCCACTCTGACCTGCCCTCACACAGCCCCACACTGGGAGCATCTTCCTGCTCTCAGAACTAGAGTCCCCCAATGTCGGGGGCTGAAAGCTGGAGTATGGTGCCCAGGAAAGGGACCTACTGTCCACCTCCGTGGCTCAGTTTCCTTTTGTCGGGAACATCTGTCCTGACCTCAGTCTGTACAAGTGCCATGCCTGGTTTCCTTCCATTCCCCAAGTCTCCAGACAAGTGTCTTCCCAAGGACTTGAAGCCACCCTGGTTTGGGGACACATCTGGGGTCCCCATCCCTTCCCTGATGCCCCCGATACAGTGGCCATCATCCAACCTACTTACACAATGGAAGGGATTCTCCCCTGCCACCTCAGGCAGATTTGCACACAGCCCACATTTCAGCACTCTCCACATACAGACTTGACCGTGTCTGTGCCCCTCTTCATCCACACATGCAAATTTTTCACACTTACCCACTCAAGTTTGCAGATTTCTTTTCTACTTTGTTTTGTGTACACAGATGCACATATTTGCAATCCACATTTGCACGCATAGGCTTTTACCCTCCCCTGCCACCCTCTGTTCCTGGGGTGGGGTGGGCAGAAGCAGATGGTGTTAATCCCAGGGCCTGAGGGAGGAAGGGGGTGGGTGGGGGGCTGCCCTCTTCTGCCTCTCCAGGCTGCCAGAGGGTGCAGGTGCCTGGCAGGCCTGGGGATTTACACTAGCTGGGCCCCAGGCTCCACATTCCATGGGGGTGGGGCTCTGCCGCCTGCCCCCTCCCCAGGCAGAACTTTGGTGCCCCCCCAACCCTCCTGGGCTTTTACTCACATGACCTCTTTGTGGGTGTCCTCAATCACCCCAGTCTCTCAAGGCCCTGCTCCCCATCTTCCAATGCTGACACCTCTCAGAGGCTGTAGGTGTCAGGTCTTCAGCAGGCTGTGCCTGTTATGACTAAGTGGACATTGTGTTCAGGAAACAAAGCCAGACTCCCCTGCTCTGGCTTTCCCCCCACCCTCACACCCAGGAACACTCTCCCAGCCCCCCTCCCACCACTTTACTGTCACCTCTCAATATAGCTCTCGGGTGTGGAGGTGGGTAGGGCGACAGGGGTCAGCTTCTCTGGGTAGAAGCACTTTCCATTAAGATGTGGCCTCCCCTCAAGGTCCCTAGCCCCCTAGGACACTGCCACCCCATTCCTGGGCTCAGGAACACACTTCTCTCCCCAGGGCATTTGGACCTTCTCTTCAGTGTCCTTGGAGGGACCTGAGTTGACCCTACATCCCCATCTCCTGCAGGTGCTTATGCCAAATCATTACCCCCAGGGGATGCAGGCCACCTGTCCTCAGCTGTAGGTCAGTCGAGGCCCCAGAATGCAAGCCGGGGGGTTAGCCCATAGCAGTGCGTCACTACTTGGTTCCCATAGCTCTGGCGACATGATAAGGAGCTGAGGACGCCAGGTCAGTCTGGGTCAGGTCCAGGTGACAAAGACCAGGCTTTGTCCTCAGGGAACCCTGTGCTCTAAGCAGATGACACTTGGCATAGGTGGTGGTGGCAGGGCAGGGGGGAGTGGAGGTGGGGATGGGGGGCAGTCTCCCAGTCCTATGGAAGGAGGAGGAAGGAAGGTGTTCCCTCAGCCCCAGGCCCTGTCCCTGTCTGCTCTGCTCTGCCCTCCTCTCCCTTCCCCAGGCTCCTTCTCTCTCTGGCTCTCACATACTACTCTCAGTCATCCCTCAGCTGCCTTGCGCACAGCTCCTCATTCTGCTGGGAGTCCTGGAGTATAAGGGCAAGGATGGAGGCTTCGGCCACAGGTGAGGGTGCCGAGGAGGCAGGGCTGACCTCTCTGGCACAGTTTGCCTTTTTTCTGTCTGGCTCCCCATTGCTTCTGTCTCTATGTTTCACCTTCATTCCCTTTACCTGCTTCGCAATCTCAGAGTGGGTCCTGCCTCTGATTCTCCCTGGCCCATGTCTCTGCCAGGCTCAGGGTGTAACGTGAGGCTCTGCCTTCTCTGAGCCTGGCTCTTCTCACTCTGGGCCTCCACATCTTGCCCCAGGCTTTTCCTCCTCCTCTCCAATCTCCTTGTGCCTTGGTGATCCTGACTCTCCTTTCATCTGCAAATGACCCCGGATTCTTTCCTTCACTTGGGAGCACCACCCTCAGCTCTTCAAGCTTCTCCCTGCAAGACTCCCTGTCCTTTCCTCTCTCCCCATACCCCTCAGCACCCTCCTTCTCCCTGGCTCAGCTCTCAGTCCTCTCCCAGCTCTGCTGCTGTCTGCGTCCAGCCCCTGGCCATTCTCGTGGGATCCATCTCTCTCACAGTCTCTCTGGCTCTGGTGGCTTAGTTGCCCTGGCTCTCTTGGCATAGCTCCCTTTTCAAGGGCCCTCTCCTTTGTTTCTACTTATCTCTTTATTGCTGTCCAAGTCTGTTCCTAACCAGAGGAATGGCCCTAGGGATCTCGGTCCAAGCTGAGATCTCACCACTGCACTCCAGCCTGAGACTCCGTCCCAAAAAAAAAAAAAAGTTAGAGCTGGAAGAATCCTAGAAATCACAGAGAACTGAATTTCCTTGGTTCAATTGTGTGGGATAAGTGAGAAGGAAGTGTCCGTGGTTTGAGGGTGCCCTGTCTGGGTTGGTCTAGGGAGGGACAATGGAGGTGGCTAAGAGGAGAAAGGTGGCGGTGCCTGCGGATCTTTCTGGTGCCTCCTCATTTCCTGCACCTGTTTTCCTTGTCTCTGTTTCCACTGGCTGCCTTGTCCCCTGGTTGCTCAATCTCTTTGACTGCTGCCACCCCCTCAGGTCTTTCCTTCTCCCCCCCCACCCTGTCTCTCCTCTGCTGTCACCTGCTCTTCTCTGGTACTGGTTTTCCTCCCCAGCACAGGTCCTTGCTCTGGCTGCCGCATTCACAGCTCAGAGCCGGGGACAGAGCAGGAGTGGGCTCTGAGTGGTGTGTTGGTGGGTTGGGGGAGATCCAGTCCAGGGCTGAACAATGGCTTCTCAGGTTCCCAGTGGGGCCCACAGCCTCACTGTCTCCCAAGCCCCTGCCCTCTGTGGCCCACAGTCCCAGGCCCACCTAAGCAACTCAGCCATGTCAGGATCTCCAAGGGGGATGAACTTGTTTAGTTGGAGGAGACGTGCTCCTTCCAACTCCCAGCCCTCCGGGGAGCCATCCTTTCCCTCCCTCTCCCCAGAATCCTGCTCACACATAACCTTCCCCAGCCCCTCATCTGTCTGCCTCCCCTCCAGATAGCTTCCCATAAATGGGCCAGAAGAACCCCATCTTCCTGCAATCCTAGAGGACGAAGGGCTTGGTGATGGGAATTACAATTGGAAGAAATGAGTGGGAAAAAGGGAGCACTCTGGGCGAAGGGGGCTTGGCCTGGGAGGAGCTGAGGAGGATGGGCGGGTGGGCTGAGGGTGTGTTTCTCCCACCTGTGGTGGGGAGGGAGCACGCTGGCCTCTGGTGGTGGCTGGAGAGGGTTGTGGCTCTATCTGGAAGGGGATATGGGCTACAGCTGTGAGTCCTTGTCCTCTGGTGGTGGCTGGAGAGGGTCGTGGCTCTATCTGGAAGGGGATATGGGCTACAGCTGTGAGTCCTTGTGTACTCTGAAAAACTCGTGCAGGACTGGCACTTAGGCAGCCATTGGCTCACCTGGCCAGTGATTCACACTTCCGTGGGCTCAGAAATGGCACTGGCCAGCACCCATACCCGGAACCGCCACTCTATGCGTAGTCCCGGGCGGCATCCATGATGGTGGGGGGGGAGGGTCCACAGTAGATGGGCTCAGGGTGCTCTAGGTGAACTTTAGGCATCTCCCCAAATTTCCCTTAATCCTGAGGGCTGCTGGGCCAAGGAGAGGGCTGGGAGGAGAGGTGTCACCTCTGCTGCATTTGGCTGGTTTGGCGGAAGTAAAAGCGGTTTCAGTGCAGCTCCAGGAGGGCCTTCCTAGGCCAGGCCTTTGAATCTGCACCACCCCCCACCCCCACCACATGCCTGCATTTCTACCTCCCCTAGCCCGGACCCCACCCCCAGGTCCCCAGGGCTGCCAGGCAGTGAAGAAGAGTCTGGAGTCAGGATCTCGGCTTCAGGGAAAATTGCTTTATTCTGCTTCCTCCCAAGGAGCTGTTACACAGGCTTCGCCAGCACCCCCAGGGCTGAGCAGATCAAGATGTGGCAAAGCTACTCCTCATTCAAGCCCTTTTGAAAGGAAACAAAGTCCAATCAGACCTTGGAGAGGTGGTATTGGGCAGGGACAGGGCACGGGAAAGAAAGGTGAGAGGGGTCTGATGGTGGGAGGCCTGCTGTGTGGGCTGGTGGAAGCCCCTGTGGCAGCAGCAGGTGTGTTTCCAGGGCTTGATGTGCACGGGGCAAGTTCTAGAGGGCAGGGGTCTGGGGTTGGCCAGAGGTAAGTTGCCTAGGTGAGAACAAGGGGGTTCTCTGGGACGCTCATTTTAGGTTTGAGTTACAAGGTTGCAGGACAAAATTAGGTGGAAGGGAACTGGAAACCAGCAGTTGGGAGGAAACTGGGATATACTGGTTGTATATAAATCAGGGTCTTCTAGGGTTGCAGACCACCCTAGGACTGGAATTCCCAGAACCACTGAAAGTTAGAGCTGAGCTGGGTGTGGTGGCTTACATCTGTAATCCCAGTACTTTGGGAGGGTGAGGTGGGTGAATCACAAGGTCAGGAGTTCAAGACCAGCCTGGCCAACATGGTGAAACCGCATCTCTACTAAAATATAAAAATTAGCTAGGCATGGTGGTGCATGCCTTTAATTCCAGCTACTTGGGAGGCTGAGGCAGGAGAACCCGGGAAGTGGAGTTTGCACTGAGTCAAGATCATGCCACTGCACTCCAGCCTGGGTGTCAGAGTGAGACTCCGTCTCAAAAGAAAAAAAGTTAGAGCTGGAAGAACACTAGAAATCAGAGAACTGAATTACCTTGGCTTCTGTGTCTGTGTGGTTCAGTTGTGCAGGATAAATGAAAAGGAAGCATCCCTGATTTGAGGGTGCTCTGTCTGGTGTGCCTGCTGTGGGGGTGACTAGCAAAGCCCAGGGGAGGGACCCACCTTGGCGCCAATGTCGCGGCTCTTGGCCCGCAGCTTGTTGACCTGGGACTCGGCAATGTCTGCCCGCTCCTCTGCCTCATCCAGCTCGTGCTGCACCTTGCGGAACTTGGACAGGTTGGTGTTGGCCTGCTCCTCCTGTGGGAGGTGGGAGCATGAGGTGAGAGGGGGCCTGGGTTCTCAGACTCCCGGCTTGGGGGTTGAGCTCTCCTATGCCTGGTCCCCAGCAGGGTCACTCACCGCCTCCTCGGCCTGGCGCTTGTAGGCCTTGACCTTTAGCTGCAGCTTGTCTACCAGGTCCTGCAGCCGCAGCAGGTTTTTCCTGTCCTCCTCCGTCTGGGGGCCAGAGGGCAGGCAAGGGTGAAGATGGCATAGTCACAGGAGGTAGCATCCCCTCCACCCTCCCTACTTCACCTGATATCCTGACCCAATTCTACTTTCTGATCCTCACTAAACACTTGAACTCTCCTTATAATTTCTTACCAAATATGTGTAAATATTTTAAATGATTTGCACCAGGAAAGAGTCCAAATTGCTGATGGGACTCCTGAAATTATGCACAAAATTGTGTGTGTGCAGTGCTCCAAGGAGCAGGTTTTTCAGGGTCTAGGGACCCCATGGAGGATAAACTCCCCTGCTCTGGACCTCAGCACATGCTGGGAGGGACTTTGGGGCTGTGAGTGTGATGGAATTTCCTGGGCTGCAATGCAGATGACACTGACTTAATCTAGGTTAAGGACAAAGTGTGCTTAGAGGGATGGTGACATCCTGGATTGGAAAAGAAACAAATTCTAATTCAGAGTCTGATTCTAGAAAACACCTTGGAAAGCTAGAGTCTACACTGCCCTGGGTAACAGAAAAGTTTGGATGCTTGTTTGCATGAGATTGGTGTATTTCTGGTCTTTTGGGGGTGACCCTGGCTACATATTTGCTTTCTGGTGAGCTGTGCTGGGTGAGCTTTGTCTGGAGCTCTGTGTATGTCCCCTGGGGATGGGCTGAGGGTGGGTGTTTGAGATGAAGCTCCCAGGCCAGGAGGTGCAGAGACTGACTTCTGAGCTAGGGGACATTCAGGTGGGGCAGGACTAGGCAGAGTGAAACGGAGGCTGCATTCCCACCCTTGCCTTGGAAGAGGCTAAGAGCAAACTCTTCATTCCCCTTAGCTGGTTGTTACTGTGGCTTCAGGCCAAGGTGCCAGGGCCCTGCCTGAAGCCACTGACCGCCACACCTGGTAGGTGAGCTCCTTGATGCGCCGCTCGCTCTTCCTCATGCCTTTCACCGACTCCGCGTTGCGCTTCTGCTCGGCCTCCAGCTCATTCTCCAACTCCCGCACCCGCGCCTCCAGCTTCTGCAGCTGCTTCTTGCCGCCCTTGAGTGCAATCTGCTCGGCCTCGTCCAGCCGGTGCTGCAGGTCCTTAATGGTCTGCTCCATGTTCTTCTTCATGCGCTCCAGGTGGGCGCTGGTGTCCTGCTCCTTCTTCAGCTCCTCTGCCATCATGGCGGCCTGTGTGCAGGAGAGAGGTGGCAAGGAACATGGGCCCAGGGCCGGGGCCTCTTCCCGCCAAGGATCTCTTCTCTCCCAGCAGGCCCTCAAACACACAGAACTGCGGAGTTGACCTCGCGTTACAGCACAGTGGCCTGGCCTGGACCCAGGGCCTTGTTTGTGTCTTTAGGGGAGGCGGAAGGTGGGCAGTCACTCACATCCGTGACGGCCTTCTTGGCCTTCTCCTCGGCGTTCCTGCACTCCTGTACCGCCTCCTCCACCTCGGACTGGAGCTGGGTCAGATCCAACTCCATCTTCTTCTTCTGGTTGATGAGGCTGGTGTTCTAGACATGGAGGGAGAAAAATGATCAATATATACTGTACTTTGTTACCTAATTTCATACCCTTTCTCCAGAGAGAATTAAAGGTGGTCGTTTAAAAAAACAAAACAAAACAAGCCCACTTTTAGAATGTTCCTTGTTTTGTACCCGCTTTCCCTTTTCCTATGAAAGCGGTTACATTCTAGACATTATGTCCAAGATTACTAAACTCTGAAAAGATATTTCAAATAGCAAAATATCTGCAGTATTACTCCAGAGCTCTTTAACAAAATGTTTATGTAGGAGCATGACAATACTCCAAGGAAAATGGAAACAACACTTTACCAGGACAATATTCTGAGATGTTTATAGCTATAGCAAGAATGTAGTGGGGTAAGGAAGAGGGGATGAGGTCAGCAGATGATGTCATTCCCACACATACTAGATTAAAGAATGAAACTCCACAGGGCACTGCAAAAGGCGGGCACAAAGTCTTATTGCAGAGTATAACTGAAAACAGTGTGGGTGGGATGGCAGAAAAATGGTGTTCTATCCAGCTTGTTTTGCAAGAGATGCGGTTATGCCTCTTTAAGCTCCCAAACTCCTGTCTTTACAGAGCAAGCTGGAGGCTGTCTTTTAGATCAAGAATATCAAATAACAGGATACATTCCACTACTCCCAGATTTTCGGCTTTGGCAGGCATCAGTAATCAATCATGACACTCTTAGTTTCTAAGTAGAGACCGCCTTTTCAAGATAATGGTTCTGCAGCCACCATGGATGACAGTTGGCCTAACAGAGGAAGTGATTTGTGACCCTGGCTAGATGCTGGGGAGAAAGCTCACTAGAACATCTGGCTTCTCTAAATGACCTGGGCTCTGCACTCCGCAGGTTTCCACAAGGTGGCTCCTGACCCCCTCACCTGGGAATGCAGCAGCTGCACCCGCTCGCTGGTCTCAATCAGCTCCTGCTCAGCCAGCTTCCGAGACCGCTCTGTCTGCTCCACCACTGCGCGCAGCTCCTCCAGCTCAGCCTGCAGCAGGTTGTTACGCCGCTCCACGATGGCGATGTTCTCCTTCAGGTCGTCGTTGGCACGAACCGCGTCATCCAACTGGATCTGGGTGTCCTGAGGATCAGGATAGTGGGCGTGAGCGGAGGAGCCGGCCTTGGTGCCCTTCACTGAGGGCACCTGTCAGAGGTCCCTGCAGTGACCCAGGGGCAGGAGAGATCGTGTGCCTGTGTCCAGATACCACCCCTTCTCCAGGCCACGTGGAGGCCAGTCCCCTCTGGGTGAGGGGACCTCCTGCCCCTGGGTACCTTCAGCAAACTCTGGAGGCTCTTGACTTGCTTCTGGGCCTCGGCGGCCATGCGGTTGGCGTGGCTGAGCTGGATCTCCATCTCATTGAGGTCTCCTTCCATCTTCTTCTTCACCCGCAGGGCCTCGTTGCGGCTGCGTGTCTCTGCGTCCAGGGAGGTCTGCAGAGAGTCCAC